ATCGATCGCCGGCGCCGCTCCAAACCCCGCGCGCCGAGCGAGCGAGAGACGCTGGCGCGCTCGGAGCGGGGCTAAGGGGTGAGCAGACGTCAAAATATTTCTGGAAGCTGCAGACTCCAAGTTCTTAGGAAGATTGGCACACACACTCCAGCACACTCGGGAGTCTCCTCCGACGAACGTTTGCAGCTGCGCTGTGCGCGCCCGTGCGATGTTTCCGGACAGTTGTAGTTCCAGATTGTTCTCAATAGAGGGAGACAGGAAGTTCTGAGCCACCGCCCGCCTGCCCGCCATCTCTCCCTGTTAATCGCGGTTCCAAGCGTTGGAGTTCCTCAAGTCGTAGACCTGTGTCGAGCACTTCAATCAATATGAAGTCTCATCGTTCTCGAAATAAAGGAAAGCCTGGCTTGGGATGGGGAGATGCGCCAGATTCGGATTTAACCCTCTCAACGCTCGACCCCAGCAGCAGAACCTGTCTGTCGGTGACCCGTCAGCAGACTTGATTTGGAACCTGTGCCCGGATTCACAGTGGGGAGTGGGGTTCTGCAGCGCCTCCGCATGAAAAAGAAGGGACCACAGTTTGTCAGCGTTTGCCCTTGCTGTTCCATTGCAAAGAATAGAGAGGCGTTCGGTGCGAAATCCTATAGCCCAGATGGCTTGGAGGTTAAGTAGGGTTAATTAGCTAATGAAGCACCTCTTGCATGTTCTTGTCTGGCAAAACTACGTGCTTTAAATGCCACAGTCAAGGGGTAGGTGCGGTGCTTAGGTTAGTGTTAGGAGAGGGTAGTAAGTAGAGGACTTCCTATGTAGTCTTCGCTCTCCTGCGGCTAGTCCTCCTCATCCGAGGCCCCTTGCCTATGTAGTCCAGTCTGGGCTGTGAATTAGGAATTGTCCGGAGAGGAGAGGAACGTGTGGATGGAGAAGTCAGATTTGTTTAACAGCGGCCATTTCGGAGAAAGTGGTGGCATGGTGGAGGGCCAAGTGGTACCCAGTAGACTCCTGCCAGGTTTGTTTATACCAGTATTGTAAACCAACCCATTTGCCACTGCAGCCAGGCAAAGGTGGAAGTTGAGCAGGTGTGTGGGTGAGAGAGAGAGGTTCTTGTGAGGTGACCCCTGAATAGGGACCGTCCTTCCCAATTACTAGGTGCCAGGAGCCCAGAGAACAGACTAAGAGTCACTCTGGGAGACATGGACCATATAGGAGGTTACTTTGTGAGGTGCAAAACTGTCACCATGTGGCGGCTGACAGGGTCAGGATTTGGTCCACAGGACCGCCCACCCCCTGCCCCAAGCAAAGCCAAAGTTTTTATACTGTGTAAGGTAGGAGCCTCAGAGATATAATGGTTACGTATTGGGCTGCGATCCACAGCAACTTGAAACCACCAGCCTCTGAGGAAGACAGACGGAGCTTTCTACTCCCATACATGGTTCCAGACTCACTACTCACAGGGGCAGCTCTACAAGGGCTCTGGGTTAGCATCAACGTAATGGCAGTGTGTAGGAGTCAGTAGGTGGTGGTGGTGGTTGCTAAGGTCAGGAAAGGGAGGTGTCCCTCGTGAGGGTAGGTGTGCTGACTGCAGGCTCCCTGGGACTGCTCCTCCGAGGCCTACCCACGATGACTGCCTGGAAACGGCCTGGGTGATCGGGTGTTCTCTGTGGTCAGCCCTGGCACTGTGCCTTACAGGGGAGGGGTAGACTGTGGGCAGGCCAGGGATGGCATAGGAGGGGTGCTCATTGACTATACACTAAGGTGACCAGATGTCCCGCTTTGGGCGGGACAGTCCCGATTTTTAACAATTTTTCCCATGTCCCGCGGCATTTTTCAAAAGTCCCGATTTTTGGAAAGAATGCACGACAAGCTAGGGTAAACGGTTTTCGGTTGCCATGTGGCTATTTTGTCAGGACATGAGTTTTATCAATGGTGTCCCGCTTTTGTCCTGCTTTACCAATGTTAAAATCTGGTCACCTTACTATACACTCCACCCCAACTCCTCTATAAGGCCTGTACAGCCCAATCGCCACGCTTCCACGTTAGCCCTCAAACCTGGGTTCTGGAGATTTGCAGCCACAGGCGTATCAACAATAAATCCCACAATGGAAGACCGCTGCATGGCAAACAGGACAATTAGCTTCAGAAGGGGGAGCAAGGGGACCAGCCCTTACTCTTGACAGTCCAGTAGGCATGCCCAGTCACTGGCCTTGGCCTGGACAGCTTTCCTCAGCAGGCCAACAGCTGAAGATGTTAGCGTTGGTCTCTCATATCCACCATCATTCTAGCACAAATTGGCAAGAAAGAGCATTGCCAGAAATAGGGTTGAAAAGACAAGGAAGTAAGAAGCACCAATCGGGTCAATCAAGAGCATCAGGCAAAATGCAATCACCTGCCACCCTAATGGGAGCCTGTCCCCAAGGTAACTAGACATGAACTACCGAGCACTGGTCTCCCCTGCCGCTGGGAGAGAGACAGGCCATGGTGTCCCAGAGGCTGGTCCTGGGCGGACAGCAGCAGTAGGTTGTTGGAACTCCCAGGAGGAGGCAGGAAGCATCTCACGTCTTTGCCAGACGCTTGAGGTCTCTGCAGCCCACAGGGCCGTTGGCAGTTGCTTGGTCCATTGTGTCTGGTGAAGTGGGCTCCCCAGTTGCTGTGGACATCTGTTGGGGTATCCGCATGGAGCATTCCGCCCAGTTTGGGGGGAACAGGCTTGTGCTTTTCCCAGCCAAGCAGCCGGCTGGTGCAGTCTCTATAAACCTCTATGATTTGCTTCATAGAAAAAGACAGTCTCATTTCTTTGGCAATAGCCCAAAGGGTCTGTTGTCTTCTATGCCTGTCTTTTGATGGAGGTGATGCCTGCTATCTAGTGCAGAGCCGAGCTAAGTAACGTATCGGGACCATTCAGGTAGCCCTGAGCTTCCTCCATCGGCTACCCTGCATTGATCCACATACATACCATTAGTAGCTGGCTGGGTGGCCACTGCAGCCCCTCAGGGAGGGCTGCCTTGGGCTGAACCATCTGTGTGCCCACGCCTCCTCAGGTGTGTGTCTGAGTCCTCGACCACAGGGCTTTTCTGTGGGGCCAGCTCTCCGCTTTGTCGATTGCCACTTTGGTGACAACTGTCACTGGCCCAGGGATCTGGTGTAGCTCAGCACTCAGGACACTCGTTGACAGGTGCAGACAGACAGGCCATTTTGTCAGAGAACTGGTTTGTGAAGCCTTTAACTCCACCCTGTTATGGGATAGGGCATTCCTACGGTCACTGGGGTTCCTTGGGTGATGTTTCCTACCAGTTGTGCGCAACAAAGGGTTTTCCTGTAGCGCTGTACCTGGTCTGTGGATATGCCAGTTTCTGTTGATATTTTCCCAGTTTCCAGCTGTACCCTTCGGGGCAATTGGCCACAACCAGCTCACACTCTTAGCCAAGCAGCTACCCTCTTGAAGGCCTGCCTTTGCTGTGCTGTTCCTTCAGCATCCCTTAGGGCCTTGCCTGCTGGGTGAACGTTAATAGCTTTTGCTTTTGATACGTCTCTGAGGTGAAGACAAACTGGTCCTAAGCAGACAGGGCTAGAGGGAGGCTAAAGAAAATAGATTCGCCAGCTACATTCCCAGGTCTCTATTTAACAGTTTTTAACAGAGAGATTATATTTGGGGCTGGATTTACTGTTTTCACTTGTAGTTAGAATTATTCTACAGGCAATCCACCCCTGGCTCTATTCTGCTCTGGGGGGTAGCCTTGAAACTTCTGGGTTTCTAAACTGTCAGGAGTTCATGATGCTTAGGGATTTGTTAGTGACAATCCTCATCTTCGAGGACAAGTACATAAGAATAAAATTAACCCTTTGACAAACATTTCAATATCGTTTGCCGCGGTAATTCTTTTTAATGAGCACATTCACTCTTTGACTCAGCACACACGCGTTCATCAGTTCTCTGTGGTCGAGGCTGGCCTTCTGTTCAGCTTTCAGCTCTGCATGATTTCACCTGAATTTCTGTTTCTGCTGAACAGACTGCACGCAGAGGAGGAGGAGCCAGGGGCCCACAGCTACCAGCAATCATCACTTTTTGACTTTGTTTCCTCCTGCTGCTGCTGCTAGAATTCCTAGCAAGGCATCCCCATCATCATGTATTGGTCCCCAGCCCTCCAGCTAACGAGGGAACCTTCTGCCCTACCCCAGGATTTCTCCTATGAACCCCCCTAGTCCCACCGTGCCCATAGTGGCTTTCTGGGATGTCCTGGACTCCTGGCCACTTTGCCAACCATGAATAGGTGCCCTGAACAGGGACCTTCTTTCCCAAACTAGGTGCCCAGAGTCCAGCAAACAGGCAAGGATTCATGCAGGGTTACATGGACTCTATTATTTAGGAGAAGGTTAGTTAATGGAGGTGCAATGCTGTTAGTCATCCTCCCTCCATCAGGGAGAGAGATGGGGATTTCTACTCCCATAAAGAGTGAGTCTCAGAGCCCCCCAGAGCAGTTCTGCCCTGTGCTATGGGGTCATGGTGATTCGGAATCAGCGTGATGACAGTGAGGTTTGGTTGGCTTTTTTTGAGAGATAGGGAAGGGGAAGAGGGTTTATGCAGCAGGGCTGGGGCAGGTGGCCTGGCTACACTCTCCCTGGCAACTGCCTCCCAAGGCCATCCCTGATTGATGCCTAGTGGGTCAGCTCTAGCACTATGCCTTACAGGGGAGGGGATTCGGGAAGCTATGGGCGGGACGTGGGCACATTCACTTCATTATATCTGTGATAGCCTTACCTTCTCCAGGTCCAGGGGCGGGCAAGGCCAGGTGTCTTATACCTACAGGTGGCAAAGTTCCCATTTCTTCATTTTTCATGCCACACAATAAAACCAACCATCTATGGGTTTAAGCTCCCTCTTTTAAATTGCCCTAAATGAGGCCCAGTACTGGGGGGGTGTCTGTCTTCAAGTGGAAGGGGAGGGCATTGGTGGCCAACTGAAAATGTTGTCTTCTACACCTGTTCTCTTTTGTTTTTTGTTCATTTAGAAGGTGTAACAAAATAAAGTCCAAGGGCTTTCCCAGACGTTTCCATGAAGTGCCTTCTTCTGGGGAGAGAGGAGAGAAGGGGAGCAGGTGAGGGGCGGCCCAGCTTCAGGGGGGTGTCTCGAGGGCTGGGACTGGCTTGCCGACTTTGTTTTGTTGCCATGGGGACTAAAGTCTTCTAGCCAGCGCAATGCTGAAGCTCACCTCTTCTTCCCCAGCGCCCCCAAGATAAGACTTGCCTGTAGAGGCCAGCCCAGCTTGGGGTTAGCTGAACCCAGTTCACATTTGTCTGCTGTGTGCTTGCATTGCTTTATTTTGCTGTCTGGGGTGGAGGGGGGGTTGCGCTTTGGCTGGGGTGGGGGGTGTGGTTTGTTCATAGGGTGGTTTGTGCTGGGGTGCACTCTGTGAGTCTGTGTTTTGCAACCATTTTCTTTCCAAACTTTCAGATGTTTGCATGCTGTAGACCCCCCACTTTTGTTTTTAACCTCAAGTAGTGCATGCATTTATCTTGGTAAGTAAAAGATATATGTGTATATATATTTATATACATATACATATATATCTGTTAGAATCCAAAATGTACAGAAAAGTTAGAAAGAAGAGTATAGGAGCGGAAGAGAGATGTGACCAGGCATCCTATCCAATTACTTCCATTAAAAAAAAAAAGATAAAAGCATATGAGTTCTAAGCAGCTTGCCTATGTGGGAAACGTACTGTCCCAGAAAGGGTTATTATAAGTAACGATTGTGTGATCTTAATCTCACCGTATGGGAGCCGCTTGATAGTTCTGTAAAGGTGATCCTAGGCAAATTCCACCTGTTATTAATAGAATTAACATTGTAATATTAAATTGCAAGTTAGGCTACTTTTACTCATCCCTGTTAAGTCAGGACTGGTTGCTTTTCACTTTCCATGAGCCAGTGCAGAGTTCACGGCCACGCCCTGCCCCGGCGGTCAGTGAATCTGGAGGGTGACATGACGGCCAGGCCTCCGTCTTTGCCGCGTTCTGATGTGGTCCGCCCGTGAGATCTGCGAAGGCAGAGTGCAGGAGTCGTGACCGGTTCACGAGAAAGCCCCCAGCTTGTCTTCTTTTAAGCTGTACGGACCGATGTTGGCTTTCTCTGTCGAAAGACAGCAACAGCGAACCCGGGGAATGTCCTTGTTCTCCCTGTGATCTGATGCTACTTTCCGAAGGCGTCAATCTTGAATACATGTCCCACACTCTAAGGGTGGAAATTGAAGTAGAGGCCACCTTGAGTAACTGGATTCAAATCTTCAGCACGGGAGCACGGACGTGACTTTTGTGCTGGGTCTGAGAGGAACAGCACGTGGTTTTTGAATGTGAAGCCTGACAGAGCCCGTGTGTCACAGGTAGCACGGGCACTTTGTTATGAGTGCTAGCCTGCCAGTGCGTCCAGCTCAGGCAACCAGTAGGTCCAAGCTGAGCTGCCACGTGGTGGTCCGAGGCTGCAGGCTTTACAGAAGCAGGCCACCACATCTCCCTCCCGCGCCGGTGGGTTGGCACTGCCTGCCTCTTTGTTAGCAGCTGAGTGCTTAACCTCGGTGCCACCACACCCCTTTCTCTAGTCCACATCCAAGCCCAAGCCCCAAATCCTCAATTCCAACTCAGCAAGACCCTCTAGGACAGAGTCAAACTTCTCCCGGGGGTGGGTTTCAAGGTGAATCTTCACCAGGGGCAGACTGCCCGTCTTCTCCTGCGGAGCGGCGGACGGCTTCAGACCGCTGGCTGAACTTTCCGTTTGTTCCCGGTCCTTAGCCCATTGTGCTGCCAGGGCCCCTCCTCCTCCTCATGGACCGGACCCCAAATGTAGGAGTGGATTAACCACAGGTGTATTTCAGATCCTAGCAGGGTCATTAGGGCTGTCTTGTGTTCCACGGTCCTCAGTCCACACTAGGGCTGCACACCGTCCATTCCATCCCCGGGTCGGTTTGAGAAAGCAACACGTATTCACAGAACCCTCTTGACTAGGAATCAGGTATTAAAATGTGTTACCGGACGGTGGTTGAAACAACTTTGGACTCAGATAAAGGCAGCCTCTTGGGCTCGGCAGCTGTGCCACTTGCTCTGTGCCGGTAAGCATACCCCTTCATCCAAAGAATGGGTCTGATGCTGGCCCCTCTTTGTGAGGTTATTACGAGGGGACCGAATGAGCTGCTCTGGGGACAGTGTGTGCTGCATGAGTCCTACATGAAGACAAGGAGATGGAGGGTCTCCGATGTGAGGTTATGTAATGGGGCTTTCCGACTTCTTGGCCAAGTCGGGGCCTGGCCCAGAGCGATTCTCGTCCTCGCAGCGGGGCACGCCGGCTGCCCACTCTGTGCCTGCGAGTCGTCGGGCCAGCGCCAGAGCTTGTTCTCAAGATGCTCGAGGGTTCCGCTCCTCCGTATGGGGGTCACTCCTTGTCAGAGTCTGCTCCCCGCTGAGCGGAGACGTCCTCGTCCCTCCTGAAGGTACTGTGTACGTGCGACGCCTCCTCCCTCTGCAGGCCCCTCTGTTAGCAGGCGTTTTTTACTACTGTCTCCTGACCCTGTTCCATCCTTGCTGCTGTCGAAGAAGGCCTTCCAAGGACTGCATGCTCCCACCCCCAACAGATGGCTGTGGAGGTGTGCTTCCATCCACTTGTTGCCTCTCCCCTCTGTCTCTCTCCGCCCACTCGTGCTTCCTCTCCTGATCTGCCTCTGTAAGCAAACCATGGCCAGGAAGCCCTGAAAGATGCCTAACTGGCAACCTTGCACGCTGTAACCAGCTGCTGTCGAGTGGATTCTGGGCCCTGGCAGCCCCAGGTGTATGATGGTGGAACTGCCTCCACAGGGCTTTCCAGGGCTGCTGTTTCAGAAGTAGACCACCAGCCCTTTCTCCCACAGCACCTCTGAGTGGGCTCCCACCTCCCAGTTTGCAACCGGACCAGTAGCCACTTGCACCACCAGCGATCCCAGCAGGCTTCCGGGTCATTACAAGAGTGGCCACAAAGACCATGCACATGTCCCTGAAGGTCGTATCCTTTGCCCTTCCTGGGATTCTAACTGCTCACCGTAAAAGGGGGCTTTCCCTGTGGCCAAAGGGGAACTATGCACTTTCCAGAGCAAGGCAGAAAGGGTTGTGCGAAGCAGGAAAACGGCTGTGAGAACAGATAGCTGATGCTTCCCCCAGACAGGAGGAAGGAAACCAAGCAGACCCAAGTCTTTCATTTTAAAACTTGATTTAAGTTCTAATAGTATTTCAGTCAAAAGTCCAAATGTTTAAGGTGATAAAACCCTAAATCTCCGTGCCCTTTCCCACTCACAAATCCACGTCCACTCACAAATATCACTAGTTTGTTATCCGTCTACCCCAGGTTGCTATCTTTTTATATAAACTATAGTTACATAACCTTGCATTCCTCTTTACACAGTGTGATACTATATACACCTAGGGGGTTCCCCCTCTCCCCCCAACTTGGCAAGTTTTTCTCCATGCATAATGTAGTTTCACCATTTTCTATTGTGAGATTTTACATATATGTCAAACAAAGCACTCACTATCACCACTTTTACATGTATAATTCAGTGACGTTAATTATGTCCACTGGATTGTGTAACCATAACTGTCGCCGCTATCCATTTCCAAGTGACTTCATCCCCCTTAACAGCAACTAGGTGCCTTATCTGCAACCCCTCCTCACTGCCCTCTGCCACCCGCCTTGGCCACCGATAAACTTTTGTCTCTGTGCAATTGCCCGTTCTGGATATGTTATAGAAATTTCCAGGATTTGCCCTCCTGCTGACTGACTTTGCTCATCACGTTTCCAAGGTCCCCTCATGTGGTGCAATGTGTCTCAGGAGCTTCGTGTTGCGCTACAATTGGGCAGAATTGTCCGCTGTCTTTTTGAGCAGTAGACTACAGGTTTTTTCCATTCTGAAAGGAGTGTATTCCTATGAAACCAGTCATCAGCCAAAATGGCATAAAGCAAAGAAAAGATTGCCATTAATGTATACAGGTCTACTGCAGAGAGAGATGGCCCAGTTAGCGGAAGGCCTTTGCAATAAAGCACCTGTCGTTATTGGTTCACAGTGCACATCAAAGTGATATCCACCCTGTGGGCTAACCAGTGTGCAAGGGCATCATGACAAAGGTGGACACTGTGAGAATTACCAGAATGTGACAGACGCACAGTGAGCACCTGCCACTGAAAACTGGTGTCCACAGACTTGCTGGACACAGAGCTGCCACCCAACTTCAGCTAGGGAAGCGCTCCGGGTATCTGGGAAGCATCCTAAGCAGAGCACAGTAAAACGAGCTCTGTCGGTGTGGGAAAGCGCTGAGTGTGACCAGACCCAAGCTGTAGCCTGATGAACCATACCGGTAACACAGAGCCGGAAATAACATGGACATGCAGTGTCCATGGATTCGAGGTTTGATGCCTGATGCCAAGGGGCTGATGGCAGGTAGCTCCTGGGGCTTGGGCTCTCAGCGATGCCACTGTGGGGTGCACTGCCCCTCAGATGGCTCGCTGCAAAACACTGAAAGCTGGTTTCCCTTCCTAAAAGTGAAAAATCCTGTTTGGATTTTTTTTTTTCCAGTTAGAAAACCTGCACTGATGTAGGTCTCTCATCAAAGCCCAGTAGCATGAAGGGAACTTTTCACAAGGGGGTGGGGGGGCACCTATATACAATACATAGACAGACCATGATTTACTTAAGCTGTTTGCTGTGGCTGTCATTTGGTTGTCCCCTGTCTTCTGTTATGACGAGCAGCATCATGGTGAGTAACTGTGCTGGTATCTGGTATGTCCTCTTGCAATCCTGTGCGCACATCTGGAGGGTTTCCTTGAAGGGGTGCTTTAGGGTCTACTTAAAGGGGTGGCTGTATCCAAGGTGACGTGTGTTTGTAATTGCGATGGATATTGGGATACCAGGGTGAGTTTTTCTCAGCTAAGTATGAGTGCACCGAGCCCCATAGCTAACCTGGCTTGGGGTGTTTGGGAGGTCTGCTTAGGTGTTGGGTGAGCAATGGTACCTCAGTGTAGTTTGTATTTTTCTCCCGAGCAAGGCTGAGCATCTTCTTTTTATTTATTTATTTATTTATTTAG